CCAAAGCCGCCGAAGTTTCCATTTCATATAACGATAGATTCGTTGTATTCGTATTTGCTGGATGAATTGCATAAATCTATCGATCGATAATTCTGTCATTTCGCTGTTATTATTCTTTTCGAGTAAAGTAGAAGAATCTTCTATTAGCAATGTGAAATATATTCGTCTCTGGCCGCCAACTGATATTTCGTTGGAATGGAATGCGTGTGCAAGTCTGTTAACGAAGAGGTCGGTGTATCCTCCTCGATTTGAATCCTTACGTCCGGTGGTTGGGAGAAATTTTGGGAAAGAACATCGTTGTCTCTCTCGCAAAATTGCGGAAAGGGGTGGTTCGCCTTTCCAGAAATAGCTGTTCCTTCACTCACGATCATATTTGTTACTTCACTATTATCATTCTCCCCGAGTAAAATGGATGAGTCGTCTTCAATTTGCAATGAAATATATTCCTCTCTGGCGGCCAATTCACGCTTCCTTAAAATGGAGTGGGTGTTCGTTAACATGGGAGTAGACGTATCCTCTTCGATTTGAATCTTCACGTCCGGTGGAAAGAAGTTCGCAGAAGTGTCGCCCTCGATATCAATAACAACCGATAACAAATCCGATGGCGGAAAAACTATATCGATTTTTGTAGACTGCGATTTTTGCGCAAAGGTGTTGCTGTCCATCATAATTCCGATTCCACCCCAAGTATTTACTTTATCACTGCGAACTTCTAACGTTTTCCACTTCACGTTTCATTCGTACACGTTGCGGTTCTTTTCCGACTGGACTTTCTCGACGATGTCCAGCGAACTGAATGTCCAGCGAAACCTGCAGAACCGTTTCGACAAACACTTGATCGAGAATATTTCAGTCCTTACTACCTGACTTTCCGAAGATGTGTACCCTTACTGACACTGACCTCCGACTACATGCTAAATATCCCTTCCAACGAAACTGTGCAAGTCAAAAGACAAGACTCGGGTGTCCAGGGAAATGTAGGTGTGACAAATATGCAGAATCGGTTTCTGGTTGGACGAAAGGTCAGATAGGAGGATCTGTATCCCTACTGATACTGATGTCCGCTTTCAGTCGTCTTCAGTCGATTTTCTTCAATCGTTGTTGAGTTACTCAGACGTCCACATCTCAGAACGCTCAGGTGAACCGAGTCGCGTTGTGATACTGTGTGATAATACTGAACGTAAGTTCTGTTTTTACGCGCACGAAGGAGTTTCAAGTTTCTGTTGTAGTGCAGTCTGATTCTCTCTTCATCAAAAATTTGTGTATATAGATTTTAAGTTACATCTTCCGTCTTTCTAGATTCAAGAATTGCCACTCCAGTGACCAATATGTTCCCGGACGATTCCAAGATTAAATTTGTACCACTGGCTGCATATTCGGCCGTTACCAGACGAACTTCTTCGATGCATGTCAAAAGCGACATATTAAAGAGGCCCGACGAACTTTCTGTCAGAAAGGTGAGTAAAGATACATATACATATGTAAGTTATAATACTGTTTATTTGGAATATTTATAGCCATCAATGACGTTTTCAACCGTTTAATTTCGTGGTTTTTATTTGCTGTGTTTTAGTATGAGACTTACGCCAACTCGTCTGCGAAATACCAATTTACCGATTATGATGAGATTGAGCTGGTGCGTGAAGACGTTATATATGCTGCAAGCTTTTATTATATTATTAAACGTCCTGTTAGAAAATATCACGATATTAGCGACTCTCCTAAAACAGACGATATGGAAGAGCAGTATACCTCGCTTGTTCAGGAGCTTCATAATCTAATGGAAACTGATGACGAATATGTAGCAGACAAGGAAAGAGCATCCAAACATAAAATATCTTTCAAACAAGAAGCAGATGTTGGACAGGAGGTAACTGTTACATTCGCAACGTGCAATGTTTCGAGCCACGTATTACCTATATTAGAATGGCTAATTAGAATGGTAGATTTGAACATAAGGAAATCTTCCAAGCGAAAGAAGTTATTTCTATAATTTATAATGAATTAATATTTGAATTTTTATAGTCATAAATGACAATTTCAACAATTTCGATTATTTAATTTTGTGATTTTTGTACGTTATTTTTAGTGTCCTTTATGTGGTTTTTCTACTGGGAATGAACTGTTTGTTGATTTGGAGAATTGATAATCACTTGACTGGAGAGGACCAATCAGTAGAGAAGAAAAAGAAACTTTTAGGATACTCTTCCGCAGAAAAGCACCTGGCCATATTTAACTTTATTCAATATTTTCTTCATAAAGCACTTCATATTATATCAATATTTTATAATAAACGAACGTTATGCATTGTTAATTGTGTACTGTTATACATTATTTATCACCCTCTATTAACCCATTAATTAAAATACAAGTCATTGATCTTTTTGCATAATTAACTCATAATATTCTTTTTGCAACAAAAACCAATTGTATGTAACGTTTACAAATATATAGCTCTAAAGCATCTGCATGAAACTATCTAGATAAAGCGCATATCCTTCATTATAAAACAAGGTAAGTGGATTAATTGAATGAGTGAGTGAATTAATTCTCGGAAATATTATTGCCCTTTGGGTCATTCGGCTCGACCTGTCACTATTTACCTTGTTACTTTTTTATTGTTACTTTCATGTCGAATGCGAATTACAAGGAGGTTACCAGAAATTATTATAATTATGTTATTTAGTGTAATGTGCATAATTTATATTATAACTTTATCGTATTCTACATTAATAACTTTTACGTCGATATTACGTCGCAAACAGAATCTGCTCCTTGATCTGTTTTTTGTTTTTTTTTTGTTGTCTCGTGGCTGCATCGAAAATCAGAGTTTCATCGTATGTACGCATTTATATTTGTGCGATATCCTTATACAAATTTATTCATTGAATTCAATTGTCCAATAATACAAGTTAAATATCAGTCTCTTTTTAACTTTGTTATTCATTCGTTGTAATTTATGTTTACTTCTGTTGCTGCTCATCGCCAATTATTTGTACCTATTCCTTTTGTTATCATATCTTGACCATCATTTCCTTCCCAAGTAGAACACAAAATTATGATGACATCAAAGTGACGAGAAGATAATCGAAACATGATGAAAAAATTAGTTTTCCTCGTCATTTTAACGTCATCATGATTTTCTGTTCTGCGTGGGCTTGATGTCGCAAGTTCGATAAACAACAACATATTTATCGAGTTCATAAACCACTATGTAAAATTGTGAATAACACAGTTGCCACAGATTTGTTAGTCGTTATCCCCCTAAATATTACACAATCGGTCTCAACCGATTTCTGATATGCTCCGGAAATTTTCCTTTTGCTTTATCAAAAAATAACTGCAAAATTAACACAATATTTGACCTTCCTTCATGAAATACCTAACCTTGGAACAGACAACCGTATATAATCGTGTCTCAATTATACCACACGACCTGGACTATTTATCATGTTTCCCAAGATCCTTTTTTACTGTATTCTCCTCAGGTATCTTTCTAAAAATCTGTCCGTTCTATAAAACTCACCTCATTTCTGCTTTTTTTCTCGTTTCTCTATCTGCATTTGGAAAAAAATTACCCTACAAATTTCACAGTACATATTCGTACTCTGTACAATAAATTGACGTTAGAAATTTGAGGAATGTATACAAATGAATAAAATATAGTTTTTAAAATTACGCCAGCTATATATATTTTAGAATTTAATCTGTTTGAGGACATATATTTATTAAGATTTTTTATTTATTTACTTATTTATTATTATGTCTTTTTATGTAGAAACGGTGCAGGAAGTACTTAATCAAGCAAAATCAATTCTTACTGTTTGACTTTTCGAACTTTCGAACTTTTAGAACGTAGCGAGCCAAAATACCATGGAGCGAGAAGTAAGAATGGCGTTGCAAGTGGGAGCAGCGGCGCTCTTCAACTCCCGGTTGCGCGTCGAATGCGCCCCCAATCGTCTCTAAAATGACAAACTCGCGCTATAGCATGAATGGCTCAATCTTTCCTCTCTTAGCATCTCAGCGCGCGCTCGCCGTCTCATTTATCCGCACTCTCTAAATATTTTACGTAGGATGGTCGAATATCGTATTAATTTTGCAGTTATTTATTGATTAAGCGAAAGAAAAATTTCCGGAGCATTTTAAAAATCGATTAAGACATACTCGAGCGATTGTGTCATTCAATGGACATATCTTTTTACTACAACGTAATCTGTATTGTTCGCATAAAGTCTTTGCTTCTGACGTCATTCGATATAATTGCTGCAAAGAAACAAGAGTTTTGAATAATATTTTTCTTTTCAGTGGCTTGGAAATTTTCGATAGAGGACTTTAGTTCCTTCCTAAATTAAGCCTACACTGCTCCTTTAAAATCTGTTGTCCAGATTTCAAAAATATGGTAAAAGGTTTGAGTTATGCCGACAAAAGTTTGAATAATGATCCCACCGCAGAAATATTTACTGCTAGCTTATTGTATCGCTTAATGCACCGTGACGATCTTGTCTCTCCTGGATATGAATAGAAAGATATACGAGGAGATAATGTTATCTGCAACAGAAACCTACCTTCCAAAAAGACCACGTACCTTCAAGGAAAAAAATTCAAGGGAAAGGATAGGAAATCTGGTTTAAGCTGGTGGAGATAGCAGGGTGCAGGGTGTGACAAAACCGGCCTCTGATTGGACGAAGGGTCAGGTAGGAGGATCTGTACCCCTACTGATACTGACCTCCGATTTCAGTCGTCTTCAGTCGATTTTCTTCAATCGTTCTTGAGTTACTCAGACGTCCGCATCTCAGAAACGCTCAAAACAGAACGCTCAGGTGAACCGAGTCGCGTTGTGATAGTACTGAACGTAAGTTCTGTTTTTACGCGCACGAAGGAGTTTCAAGTTTCTGTTGTAGTGCAGTCTGATTCTCTCCTCATCAAAAATTTGTGTAAATAGATTTTAAGTTACATCCTCCGTCTGTCTAGATTCAAGAATTGCCACTTCAGTGACCAATATGTTCCCGGACGATACAAAGATGGTATCACAGGTTGCGCTTTCAGCCGCTACCAGCCAAGAAGTTTCTTTGAGGAATGTCCACAATAACATAGAAAATGAGATTAAAGAAATTTACAGCAAACCGGTGAGTAAAAACATATAATATGTTATCATATCCATTAAGCTGCTCGATATATTGATTACATTGTACAGTGTAGTACCATTTTTTTTCTGACAAATAGTTGACGAGATATCGTTAGTTAAGTATTGAAAAAGTCATCAAGTTTTTCTTAAATATCTCAAAATATATGAGGTAAATAAAAAAATGTTTCAGACAAATGTTGTTCAAATTAATTGGTAGAAAAGGATGATATAATAAAAAATTGGTGTTTCTGTTAAAAAAAAATAAGTTGAACTTGACCTGACCTTGGCAACGCCTCTTAAGATCAAACTGATAAGGTCAGTAAATACACCGTTTTGAGCTTTATAACTTTTGTCTGAAACACTTTTCTGTAAAACTTATATCTTTCGAAATTTTCAAGGGTTTCCATTTTCTTTCCTCACTCTGTATATCGAAACACAGGTTTTCGGTCATATCAGAATACAAAAAAGTAAAAGCAAAATGTGTTGCATCTTGGGACAAAATAATTTAAACTACAATTTTAATCTATATCTACTATATGTACGTGGTACACTTATGGAGTGTGTCAGTAACGTTAAACATTTTTTGAAATTCAATGGCAAATTAAAGACTCGAGCGATCAGTTATTATTACACGGAAAAGTACTTGAAAAATGCGACAAAATTGTTTTCTTACAACATTTTCCCTCATTTTTATCAAACCTTTCATAAGACCGAAGTAATCTGCATTGAGTAAAATAATGAGATAGGACAATTTGAAAAATTTTTGCCCAATTTGTACGTTACGGAAGTTATGTATATTAAGATGGTAACTTTTATAATAGATTTTGATATAAATTGTGGAAACGTCCCGAAGGAAAAGAGTTATTTCAGTAAACTATGACGAGTTTACTATTAGAATATTCATAATCATGACTAACGATTTCAACAATCTAATTTTGTGCACTTTCTTTTAGTGTTACAATTGTAATGACCGAGTCCAACATCTGAAGGAATTTGATTTGGAAATCGCAGAGGTCGTCGAGAAGAATAGAAGCTACTATTACAATAGATGCTTTGCATCTCCGACTATATATAATAGCGACATGCCTGATATGGAGGAGTTGGAGCTATCTTTATCTTTCACTGAGGAACTTCATAAACTAATCAACGCTGGAGACGAACTTTTAAAATACCAGCAAAGGGCTTCCGAGGACGATGCATTAGCTGTACAGCCGACCGTTACTGTCCAAAAACATCATTTAATGAATACTGACAGCTCTATGGCAAACTGGACTGATGAAATTTCTAGCAGACCGGTGAGTAAAAACACGTAATATGTTTTCATCAGTTATTGCACGAGAAAGTATTTAAGAAATGCAACAGAATTGATTTTTTATATCTTCCCTTCATTCATTTCAAATATGTTTTATGACGCCGAAGAAATCTATGCTATTGAGTAAAATAATTAGAAGACATGTAGAGATAAGACAATTTGTAAAATTTTTGCCGAATTGTGTGTTACGAAAATTATGTATATTAAAATGGCAATTTTTATAGTAGATTTGAATAAATTATGGAAATCTTCCGAATGCAATGAGTTATTTCAGTAATCTATGACGAATTTACTGTTAGAATATTCATAACCATGACTGACGATTTCAACTATCTAATTTTGTGTTCATTAATTTGTGTTGTATTCATTTTTTTTATAGCCTTGCAATATTAATGACCGACTGCAACATATCAATAAAGAAATTAATTCGGAGATCGCACTATCAGAGGTCGTCGAGAGGAATAGAAGTTACTATTATAAAAAATGCTTTGCATCTCCGACTATATATAATAACGACATACCTGATATGGAGGAGTTGGAGCTATCCTTAACATTCACTGAGAAACTGTACAAACTGATGAAAGTTGGAGACCAGCTTTTAGAAAGCCAGCAAAGAGTTTCCGAGGATGGAGCAAGAAGCAGCCGTTAAACAACAGGTAATTGTCACATTCGCAACCTATAGTATTTTCACCCATCACTGTGGCTCGTTTTGGGATAACGAAAGAGGTTTTTTCATTGTATTAGAAAATTCTTGATAAATCTGCATATTTTGTCCGTTTATTTCTCATATCTTCAGTTCAGTTCAAAGTCTTGGCTAATCTTGCATATACTGCATAGTGCACAGTGAAAGTACAGCGAATCTTCGGTCATATCAGAGTATAACTGTAGAAACAAAACACGCACCTCCAGACGAAGCAACTCTTAACTTGGGAGACGCTTTATCTTTTCGAGTTTCACGCATGTGTGCACACACATAAATGTAGATGCAAATCCGACTGTGGTGTATCCAAAAAATATTTAGCAAGAATCAACGGTTTAGCAAGAAGAAACGAAACGAAGCGAAACGACGATACGAAAGCTCTCTAGAACTATAAAATAATCTAATTATCACGAAAGTCGCCGTGAAGTAAATTTTTTCATTAAGAAATCGTATAGAATTATCGTATTTTTTCATTGCATGAGAGATATTTGTCATAATTGCAATCTGTAGTGTTTCCATCCACTGTAGCCTGTTTTAAAGCAATGAAAGTGACTTTATACTTATTTTACTGTGCTATTTAGAATTTTGAATAAATCTATGTGTTTTATTTGCTTGCCTGTACCGTCTTTAGTTTTGAGTCTTGACGAATCCTGAGAACTCTGCTCAGAAAATTGCATACATGTTGCGATACGATATTTAACGGCATTTGAATTCTCAGCGAGGAGTTTTTTCTAGGATAAATTTCCTATTAGAATTTTATTATAGCCTTGATTCACAATTTCATCCATTTAATTTTGTGATTTGTAACCGTTTTGTTTTAGGATGATGCTTTAGGCCTCTTAATCACTCAAGGAATGCCAATTTACATATATATTCGTATATATATATTATTTTTCATGTATTTATGTATTTCGTATAATAAGCAATAATAAACTATATATATAGTTTCTTATTAAAAATATATTTCTTATAAAAAAATTATCTTTTATTTTCTCACATCTTGCGATTGCTAGGGCCGAACTGCCACCATACTCCGAAACGTTGCGCGCGTCCTTTTTTCGGCAACTGTAATTTCAAGCGGCGCGAATGGTCACATTACATGTCTATTCTGGCCGCGTTATATATTGCTTAACCTTGATGATTAATTAACAGTATATATTCTTTGTCGAAATATTATGCTAGTAGTTAGAAACTACTATTTGAAAATATTACATATATTATTGAATATTATTAGAATAAAATTTTATATTTTTTGTATGGAATTAGCATTAGGCAGTAATATTAGGAAGGAATATATGATTAATAATACATATTTGTTCATATGTTCTGTTGAAAATAAGACATATATTGTATTACATCATCTCAATAAAATTAACCGTAAAATGCACATAAATGCTATTTATATGTTATTTTACACATATATGCTATTTTAACCAATAAACTTTGTACATAAAAAATTTAAATCTTTATTGCAAATTATTGATGTAAAAAGTACAAATAATCTTGAGGACTGTTATACCGTTGCTTTATTACACATCTTCCTACCTGACCTTTCGTCCAATCAGAACCTGGTTTTATTACGCCCCGCAACCCTGCTACCTGCACACGTAAACCAGACAATTTCCGTTGCTTTTCCTTTAGTTTTTTTACCTCGAAAATATCTGCTTCTTCTGCAAATAACATTTTTTATATCCCTCTATTCATGTCCAGGAAAGAAAAGCTCATTACGGTGCATTTATTGTACAGAGTACAAGTGTACTGTGAAATTTCTGGGGTAATTTCTTTTCCAAATACAGATAGAAAAATGAGAATAGGAAGCAGGAACGAGGTAAGTTTTATAAAATGAATAGATTTTTCGGAAAGATACTTGAGGAAAATCCAGTAGAAAAGGATCTCATGAGAAGGAAACATGATAAATATTCCAAGTCGTGGGGTATAATTGAGACACGATTATATACGGTCTTCTGTTCCAGTATCAAGTCAAGTATTTTATGAAGGGAGGTTAAATATCGTATTAATTTTGCAGTTTTTTATTGATAAAGCAAAAGGAAAATTTCCGGAGCATTTTAAAAATTATGTGAGACCGATACTCGACCGATTGCGTAATACTTAGGGAGATTGGATAAATGAAACGGCGAGCGTGAGCCGAGTTGTTAAGGGAGGAAAGTTTGAGCTGTTCGTGCTATAGCGCGGCTCTATTGTTTTAGAGATACTTGGCGGCGCGCAACGGGGGGTTGAAGAGTGCCGTTGCTCGCATTTGCATCCCCATTCTTACGTCTCACTTCGTGACGTTTTGGCTCGCACCGCTCTAATCGTTTGAAACATCAGATGATAAGGGTTGAATTCTGCTCGATTAAGTGCTTCCACGTAAAAAAACATAAATATATAAATAAGTAAATAAAAAAAAGTCTCAATAAATATATTTCTTTAAACAGTTTAGATTCTAAGATATAGCTGGCATAATCTCTAAAAATATATTTTAATCATTTGTATACTTTCTTCAGGTTTCTAACTTTAATTTATCGTGCAGAGTACGAGTATATTGTGAAATGTAATTGGTCAAGGGTAATTTTTTTTCAAGTGTAGGTAGAAAAGCGCAGAAAGAAGGCAGAAACGAAGTTAGCTTCATAGAACGGACAGATGTTTCAGAAAGATTCCTGAGGAAAATACAGTAAAAAGGGATCTCGGAAAATATGATAAATAGTTCAAGTCGTGGGGTATTATTGAGACACGATTATATATAGGGCCGATTGTTCCAATTCCTTGGTAAGTTAGTTGATAGTGAAATCATACGTGTGTCTTTGTCTAAGTTGAAGGAAAGACAAAGACAAACATGATTTAACTAAACAGTTAACTTTTAACTTATCAGTTAAAGTTAAAGAAGTTGGAATAACCGGCCCACGGTCTTTTGTTCAATGTTATCCTGTCTTTCAGTAAAACCGCGTTAAGTTCAAACGTGATAACATCCGACCGAGAAATAAAAGCAGAATCGAAATTAGCTTTAGGGGATAAAAGAAAAAATGGCTACAAGAAAACAATGACTGCAACCATGGGAATCGCTTTTCTACCACATAAAATACCACAAGAAAATGACGTTGACCTGCTGCGTTAGCCATCATAGTCGTCGAATATAAATTCTACCCACAAAATTTGAGTATTGATGAAGTTTTAGTTTCGTGGGAAAAAAATTTAGAAAGTCAAGAAGTTAGTTTGACAAATTCGATTACTTTGAAGATCTCTACCTGAAAAATATACCATAAAATTAGTAGAAAGAAGCCATGCAATTATTGATGATGGGAACGACTAGATAAATTATTAATAACAAAGCTTAACAGTTCTGATCAAACAGTATGTCTGTATTTTTTTCCAAGTTGTTATTATAAATTTTTTTCGAGTTATGCCGGGTACGCTCTTATTAAACAAACTGTATAATGTAAATTTATTGTTATACAATATGTTTCACTAAATCGTTACTTCTAAAGCGCAGATATCAACGCAAATTTCGTACTTTATTTCCAGAAGTGAGTTTGCATTTTCCAAATACAGATAGGGAAACGAGTAAAGGCAAAAATGAAAAGAGTCATACAGCGAACAAATGTATCGGGAAGGAGCATTCAGTGAAAAGGTTAAAAATTCTTAGAAGCACAATGAAAAGTCAGTCCTAATTTGTTTAATAATATATCATTATGTCTGATAAAATTTCGAAAATTTGTAACATCTCCAGTTGGTAGGAAAGTCAGGTAGTAAGGACTGAATTATTCTCGGCCAAGTATTTGTCGAGACGGCTCTGCAGGTTTCGCTGAACATTCAGTTCGCTGGACGTCGTTGAGAAAGCCCAGTCGGAAAAGAACCGCATCGTGTACGAATGAAACGTGAAGTGGAAAACGTTAGAAGTTCGCAGTGATAAAGTAAATACTTGGGGTGGAATCGGAATTATGACGGACAGCAACACCTTTGCGCAAAAATCGCAGTCTGTAAAAATCGATATAGATTTTCCGCCATCGGATTTGTTATCGGTTGTTATTGATATCGAGGGCGACACTTCTGCGAACTTCTTTCCACCGGACGTGAAGATTCAAATCGAAGAGGATACGCCTACTCCCTTGTTAACGAACACCCACTCCATTTTAAAGAAGCGTGAATTGGCCGCCAGAGAGGAATACATCTCATTGCAAATTGAAGACGACTCATCCATTTTACTCGGGGAGAATGATAATAGTGAAGTAACAAATATGATCGTGAGTGAGGAAACAGCTATTTCTGGAAAGGCGAACCACCCTCTTCCGCAATTTTGCGAGAGAGACAACGATGTTCTTTCCCAAAATTCTCTCAACCACCGGACGTAAGGATTCAAATCGAGGAGGATACACCGACCTCTTCGTTAACAGACTTGCACACGCCTTCCATTCCAACGAAATATCAGTTGGCGGCCAGAGACGAATATATTTCACATTGCTAATAGAAGATTCTTCTACTTTACTCGAAAGAATAATAACAGCGAGATGACAGAATTATTGATCGATAGATTTATGCAATTCATCCAGCAAATACGAATACAACGAATCTATCGTTATATGAAATGGAAACTTCGGCGGCTTTGGATACTAATGAATGATTTTTCAAATAAATTGGATGTATTAATGGCCGCGAATCCAATAACAGCTGTTTACCGCCTAGCATATATAAATCTATAAAGACTGGTTATTACAGACATTTCCGAGAAATTCGACAAGGTATGGGCGAGAAAATAATTTGATCGATTACATAATCTGAGAAAAATTCTTATCAATTATAACATAAGATAATCCTGTTCTCTTTCTCTCGCTAGTTCTCACTTATATTGTTATCACCCTTTCCTCTCTTTCTCTTAGAATAATATTTTCTCCTTTAAATATAGGACGAAGATAGAAACGACCGGACAATGACGAAGAGGCACATCGGTGATAAAT